AGAGAGGGAGAGAGGGAGAGAGGGAGAGAGGGAGAGAGGGAGAGAGGGAGAGAGGGAGAGAGGGAGAGAGGGAGAGAGGGAGAGAGGGAGGGAGGGGGAGGGGGAGAGGCAGAGGCAGAGGCAGAGGGAAGGGGGTGCTTACCAGCGCCAGCGATCCAGACACGAGCGAGTCGACCGCCGACGTGGCGCCGGCCAGCGTAGTCGCCTCGGCGGGCCCTCGCTGCACCTCGCGCTTCAGCGCCGCAGCCGCGTCGCCGAGGGCGGTTGCCGCGCCGCCGCGCGCGGCGAGGAAGGTCAGCCGCATCACGCCGCCGCCGTACAGGAGCTCCTCACTCTCCTCATCCTCGAGGCCCTCGACGCACGCGGCAAGGGCACGGGCGAGCCGGACGGCTGCGGGGTCGTCCTCCGCGGACGCGCCGGGCACGCGCCGCACGATGTTGGACAGGTTGATGCCCTGCGACGTGAACTGCTCGACCGCGTCCTCCAGCGCCTCGTCGGGCGCCATGTCGAGGTCCTCGATGTTCTCCTTGACGGCCTCGTCGAACGTCTCTTGTGAGATGCGCGCGTAAAGCGTCGAGTTGACCTTCTCGTCCTTGGCGCCGCCGGCGACGAAGCCGGGGCGGAGGCCTCCCATGCTAGGCGAGCAACGGCCACAACAGGTCCGGGGGTGGGGCGTTTCGCGGCAGGCCTGCGTAAATTCTTTTTTCCAGCTTTTCTTTTTTCAAAGGGAGTGTGTTCCGCCGCGTCGCCCAGTTGGCATTGGAGCTAGATCCCGCCGTTCTAACTGCCATGTCGGCCGGTCGTCGGCTGCTGCTCTCGCCTCGCTGGCGGCGCGTTCAAGTGCCGCGGCGCCCAGCCTTCCTGTGGGCCCGCGGCGGCTCGCCGCCACGGTTCGGCACAATGTGACCGATCCGGGTCCGTCCCGGCGTACCGCCAGTGCCACTTCCTCGCCGATTTTTTGCTCGACCAGTTTGTCGACAAACTTATGCCAGAGCTCCTGCTGCTCGACTGAGCGGCGGAGCCGGCCATTCGCGGCCGAGAGGCGGTGCGCCGACACCGGGGCTACGGCTCGGGACCGTTTCCGGGCCGTCTCGAGCAACCTCAAATTTTGATGATTTCATGACCTCGCCTTTTTGCGGCTCTTTGACATCCACCTCGCGGCCCGCTGCGCGGCTCCTCGAGCGCGAGAGGAGTCGTCTGCGAGGCGGCGGCGAGCGCAGGCGGCGCAGGCGGCGGCGGCGCGGCGGCGCGGCGGCGGATCGCGGCGCCGACAACGGCAGCAATCTGCGGCAGGCTGCTGCGTGCTGCTACAGCAGCTGCTGCTGCTGCTGCTG